AAGAGTGACGAGCGTATCTGGAGTTCATTTTTCAGCTGTCTGGACTAACAGATGTGGAATGGCTTCCTTAATCCTCATTTTGACCATTACTAATGGACTTACTAATGGACCTCATGAAAAAGGGTGAAAGGGTTATTAAAATAAGCAGATGTCTAAGCATATCAAATGGATTTAAACTGAGAAGCACTGTAGCTGGATCCCAGCTAATGTCTTATAGTCATTTCAAGGTTGGCCATTTTCCAAAGGCTTCCTGCATTTGATTTTCAGACTTGGTGAGTGTTCTGTACAAAATGTTTACCAGCTTGTTAATATTATAATAATTGTAATTAACATTTCCTCCATGGTCTGGCTTTCAATAAGCTGAAGACTATAAATGGTTGGGGGAAGCAAAGACAAAAGATCTGCTTGTAACAGCAAAGTACCGTTTGGCTCATTTGAGATCACCCTTCTGCTATAGTTGTTTTCATTTACATTTTCTTTCTGTTTTGCATGTAGTCAGGCCATGTGGCAATAATCAAGGCTATGTAAACTTGAAAACTTATTTCTTACCAAACTCTAGCCAGGTGACCCAATGTCTTTATTTAATTAGGTCAATTTATATTAGTCACTTTTATGACCAACAGGTACTTAAGAGACAATTTTGCTAGCCTAATAGTAAATAGAAGGTCCTGGAGGAAGCTTTTGTGAACACAAAGGAAACTGTCCATAGAAGGGCTTTTTACAGTAGTCCCATGAAGAGAGGTTCTGGTAATAGGGTTAGCTTGGGAAGAGGCAAGTATATTTATTGGTAGTGAATTGGGGACCACAAACATTCAAAAATTGATTCTTCCCTTTCCTAGAGGAGTTAGAGCAGGATTCAACTTGGTGTCCTAAAGTCTACATGTCTTCAAGCTTTATACAAGGTAAAATTGATTTTTTTTTTTTTTCCTCAAACTGCTTGGAAATTCCAGTGATTAGCACACAGAGAATAGTATCAGTTTGTGAGAGAGAGCAGGTGCATTTTTTTTTTCTTTTTAGAGTTAATTAACCTTTTCAACATCTTTTATTTTATAAAGGACAGTGTGTCAAGTTTGTCTCAAAGCCAGACAAAAACAGGCACCTGTACAGTTGCTGGTGATTTTACCTTTGGCAGTCCTAGCCAGTACCAGTTGGTTTAGTTGCATGAGAAGAAAAGGATTTTTTTTTTTTTTTTTAATGGAAGTATATCAAAAACAGATTCTGTTTCAGACCTCAAATCAGAAAATTACTCTTTAAATTCTCATTTTTAATGGACATTTTTAAATAACGTTTAAAAAAAAATCTGAATAGGAATATCACCGCTGGTATACTTGCTGTATTCTAGTAATTAAGGACCCCATTTATTTAAGTTCTGATGTCAGTCATAACTTCTCTTTTCCTTACTAAGGCATTGTTGCTGTTAAATTATTGTGAGGAAATTGGCATTAATCCATTTTTGCCATACTTAGTTTCATAATTCCTTTTCTATTTTTTAAAATTATTTTTCCCTCGGTGAATAACAAAGGGTAAGTTTCCCATACTACTTAAAATATATTTCCCATAATGTTCCAGGAGTACCTCCTTGTCAGTCATTTTATTCGCATTTGGGTGCTTAGCCTGCTGAAATTTCATTCCCTTCTCTCAGGGCATTTCCATATGGCAGTCTGAAGTGTGATTTATATCCTTGAGAGCATAAGCAAGCTTTAACCTATCTAGCTTAATCTAGTATCTGTACTAACCCTGGACAGTACTGATGCATCCAGGATATGTGTTTTCCTGAAATATTTTTGAGTCTGGTCTATTCCCATGGCTCACCATAAACTGGTGAGCCTGTAATGCCTTTATTGTTTGGCTTTGAAGTTTGGAAAATTACATACTTGCCATTCATGATATTGATTCAAGTTAGATTGCTGTCCTCTGGCATCCCAGCCTCCTCTGAGGCCCCTGCAATGGCCCCTCTGCAGGGAGGCACACTAGCACTTGGTCTGCCTGGCTGCTCTGGCCAAATGTCCAACAGGTCCCACCCCCAAGCTTTCCCAGATCTGACCCAGCATAGCTCCTCTCCCTAGCCCTGCCTCCTGCCTCTGACCATCTGTCAGCTGCAGGTAGGCAGTAGGGGGAAGGAAAGTGTCTGTCTCCTGCATGTGCCCTGGGACCTGGGCACTCAAATCTCCGAGCTGTGCTCCCATATCCCAACACCCTGTTATAAAGCACACATAACGTGCATAGACCCCAACACTGAGCCCAGGAGAGCCCCTGTGCTTGAGCACAGCCCCACGGAGCCCAACCCTGGCTCCCATACACTCAGTTAGGGACCCTGTGCTGAGGCACAGCCCCCTGGACCCAGACTCTGGCTCCTGCACAACATAGCTCAGAGCCAGGCACCATGCCACTCAGATCCCGTATTGACTTCCTCACACGTCCCCACAAGCAGAAGCCAGTGTGGGTAGCTTGCCTCTGGTAGTTTGGAGTGCTGGGGGGCAGAACATTGGGACTAGGCCTGCACACAGACAACCCTGTGACCTCTGCATCATGGCCGCTGCCAGCAGGTCCCCAAGCCATGTGCACCTGGGGTGCTTCAAGGTTTTTTTTTAACCCACAGCTACAGGGTCCCAGAGTATTAGGGTGGTTGTGGGGTGGGGGCCACAAGCATCCAAGCCACAGCAAGCAGGTGGATGCCCCTGAAAACTTCAGGAGCAGGTGAGACATGGCTAGCTGCCTCTGTGTTGCAAGTAGAGGACACTAGGAATTTCCAGGCCAGGGCATAGGATGTTGCCAGAATCATGGGGTGTCTTCTGGAAGAACCTGGGAAGTTCAAGGTCATGGGGGTGGCTTGAGAGTGACTGGGGAGTGGAGCTTTGGTCACTGTACAGCAGGAGCCACACCTAGCTGCAGTGAGAGGGGGAGCCAAGCACCAGGACCCACACCTATGTGCATCTGTCCATCCACAGCTCCAGCCTTCCTTCCATCCACTCCCTCATAGCCAGACCCTCAACCACCCATGGATGCTGAGACCCTATAGACACCGCAGTCCGCTATGCAGCCCTGGTCATGAAAGCGGGACTACGAGGAGATGAGGGATCTCATCTCCATCAGTGGGGAGGAGAAGATCCAGCACCAGCTATACAAAGGGCACTGCAACAAGGATGTCTTCAAGCACATTGCCCAGCAAACGCAGGCACAGAACCACAACAGGGCATTGCTGTGCTAAGACCAAATGGAAGAAGATCCAATATAGGTGTGTACATGATGCCAACAAAAAGCCAGGGCCAGGAGACAGACCATGCCCTTCTATGAGGAGCTGTTCTGCTTCCTCACCATGGACAGGGCTGTCAAGACCTTGCATACCTACAGTACCATTGAGGAGCAGAAAGAGTTGTTGGCAGGGACCCCACTGGAGGAGGAGGAACAGGAAGGCTCTGGGATGATGGCACAACCAGGTCTCTGGGTGCCATAGGGCAAGAGGTCAGGTGATGGTGATGGCCCCCAAGGAGTCCACCCCATTGTTGCTTGTCCCTGAATCATTACAGGATGTGGGAGCTGAGTTGTACCTGCAGCTGGACCTGAGCTCCCTTGACATCTTCTTAGGCATGGTCAAGAGCAGGAAGCATTGCACACAGGAGCAGGGGGAAGCTCCAATGCCACAGCAATTCAGACCAACACCTCACTGCCCTGCTTCCAGAAGCACGGTGTCCCCCAGCCCTGCCACTACCAGCACAGCGGCTGCTGCTTCAACACGACATGCAAGACCCATGGCCAGCCTCCCCCGCTGCACTTCTGCTGATCGAGCATGTCATGCTGTCTGGGATGTATGGTTCAGCCCCCACTCCATGAAGCCATGATGGGGACCCAGGCAATGGGGGAAATGCAAAGTGTCTGAGGGGAAGGAAGGGGAATGAGGGGACCCGCATCCCTGTAGTCACAGCCCTCTTTCAGGCCATTGTGGCACAGAAACCCAGAAGGGATTGCGGGTGGGATAGTGCATGGATGGAGGGGTGTGGGGAAGACTGTGAATTGCCTTACCCTGGCTGCTCAAAGTGCAGGGCTCCAGGCTGCGAAATGCTCAAGAGGTTTCTATCTTTCAACACTGGGCAGACCAGTAACCTCCTCCCCTCCCACTTTCCCGCCCTACCTCCTATGCTGGACCACAGCCAAGATGCCAGGCTGGCCACCCCAGGTCTTGGGCTGTTAGCAATCTATCTTCTATTCAATGGGAACATAAATCAGCCTAATTCACACCTTCATGTCCTACCTCTGAGGGCCATGCTCAGCTAATGGAAAAAGCAGAGCCTCCTCCCAGGTGCATTGCTACTGAAACAGCTCCCCCATCTCTAGCTCTGCAGGCAAAGTGTAAAAAAACAGGCACAAGTGCCAGAACTTAGCACCCTGCCCCAGTAGGCAATGCCACCAGTCTAGGTGGCAGAGAGGACACTGAGGTCAGGGACAGGAGATAATATGCAGGTGCCTGTTTTATGGCTGAGGCAGTCACTATACTGAGCCCTCAAGGCAACTTCCACTTGTGCTATAATCCCAGATGGCTCCCTCTTCCCCAACCCTTGAAAGCAAAGGAACCCACCCTGCCTCCATCCTCCCCCTCCCCACCCCCCTCAGAGTATTCAAAGTAGAAGAATGGTGCTGGAAAGTCAAAGGCAGCGCATAGCAGTACTCTTCTTAGGCAGCCAGTGTGTGGGGAACTTCTGGGGTCAGGTCACAGGTTCAGCATTGCATGAATAATGGTGGCATCCACAGGTGTAAGCTCATAGTAGAACCATAGATAGCATACAAGGTGGAGTCTCACACTGAATACAACCCAGGCTTCCCCAGCGTGCTGTCAGAGCAGATGGCCCCCTACCAACTCTCAAACACCTCCTGGAGGACCATGTCCTGTACCAGGATCAGGGTGTATTGGCTGGCATTTCCCAGGAGTAGTGGTAAAGCTGATTCCTCCAGACCTGGCCAAATTTCACGAGGGAAATGTTAGGAGTGAAGTACCACTTCTGCATGGACACAGTGCTGCAACACATCTTCTGTAAGGGAAGGACCAGGGGGAGGAGCAGTGGAAGAGCTCTGCTGGCATTCCCTGCAATGGTAGTCCCTGCCCACTCTGTGGATAGTTCAAGTCCCTGTAGGACCCTGGGTCACCAGACCCTCAGAGGGGATGGAGCAGGTACTTGCCACAGTGCCTGGCCTTCCCTCCTTAGCAACCCATCCCAGTACCTCTGCAGGGCCTACTGCCCATCTGCAGCATAGTCAGGGCCACAGTCTTCAGTATGCTGGTTGGAGACCAGTAGTACAGATCTTGGCTCCGAGTGAGGGAAGGGTCTAGACAGGGTGCTCGCCATAACTACCTTTCCATCTCTGCATGTGCCCAGCTGCTTGTCTTTATATTTCATTTTATTAGCAAAAGTGGCAACTTCACATAAAGGTTCTGTCTCCTGTCTAACTGCAGAGGCATCACCTGTAAAAGGGAGGGCAACACATGGAGGATGGGATGCCAGCCCAAGACAAGGGGGCCACACAGCTGCAGAGTGTATAAGGGACATCTGTAGGAATCATTGAAGAAGCAAGGAGATGTGGCAGGCCTTGGTCACCGCCTCCAAGCTCCAGGTGTGAACAGCGGTAGGACAGACATGAGGAGAGACCCCAGATGTAGAGGGGGGTCACGCACAGGCTGTGGGATGCTTACATCTGGGCTGTTGAGATGCAGGAATGGAGATTTGAGATGGCCACCCACTATTTTGAAGATGCCACCCATGGCTCTGTTGAGCTGGCAGAGTCACAGTGCCAGGAGAGGGAATTTATGGACAGGGTCCTGGACTGCTCGTGTCTGCCAACAGCACCCCTGACTGGCATCGGTGCTGACTCCCACAGAGAGCTTGTAGCCCTCCCAGCTGGGAATGGCGGGTAAAGCTGCTGCCCAGGGATACAAGCTGGGGAGAAATGGTCCCCACCATGCCCCAACTGGGAGCTACCAGAGTGGGAGGGAGACCTGGAATAGGAGGAGCAGTGACCCATAGTCTGGGGAAGCAGAAAGGCCCCAGGCAGGACCCACTCCAACAGGCAGCAGTGGGCAAGGGGAGCAGGACCAGGGTGCCTGGAGGACCAGGGCTGTCAGGAACACTGCTGACCTCCCAGAGCCAATTTGTGCCCCACCCCCCCAGCCCTGGTAGTCTTCCTGTGTATGTAGGCCCCCCAAGCAGTTCCAGGACAGTCCTGGAGGGGTGCAGGAGTACTCAAAACTGGGAGGAGAGCACAGCTCACCAGCCCACCCAGCCCTGCTTTTGTTGGAACCACAGGTGGCACCAGAGCCTGGTGACCCCAGCTCGTCCACCTCCCACGTGGAGAGCCTGGGGAGAGCTCTTCTGCTCTCTGCAACCCCACTCCTGGCCCAGGTCCTTCTGCAGGGGAGGAGCACGGCAGCACAGCCTTAGTGGGGATAGGCAGCCCCTGGGCTCAGCCCTGCTGAGTGGCATGGGCCCTAGGTTTGACCAAGTGTTGCGGGGCTGGGGTCCCTGGAAGGGGAAACTGGGTCCCAGGGGTAGGGGCTGGGGAAGAAGAGCCAGGAATCCATGGCCCTCACTGTGACAATGCTTCCCCCTGGACCTGGAGCTCTCTCAGATGGACATGGGGTCCAGGATCACTCAACTGTCCAACTCCTACACAGAGAAGCCCCTGATCTTCACTCCTAAATCCAGGAGTTAGTGTGTCAACGCTAAACCCTGCTGCCCTGTGTCTTCCCTCCAGGGTTTTGTGTTCGTTGAGTTCAACCCCTGCAGCATTCCCCCTGACCTCAATTGCCTCCCTCTTCCCTGTCCTAACCACCCCTTCCAGGTTATTTTGCCCCTTCTACAAACCTCCCCCAACCCCTCCCTTTACAAAGGTTTGCTGGTTTGTGCCAATGGGAAGAGGGACCAAGTTCTGCCATGAGCAATGTTCAACAGGAGGTGAGTGCTGAGAGTCCGCCAGTGCACCTTGAGGCGGTTGAAGGTGCACTCCACTGTCATGTGGCACCTTCTCAGGCAGTAGTTGAAGTATTCCTTCTGGCAGTCCAGCTTCCCCCATAGGACTTCATCAGCCAGGGCAAGAGTGGGTTAGCCAGGTTCCCAAAGATGAGGGGAGGGATGATGACAGCACCAATGACAAACTGGGGAACCCTAGGAGTGTAGCACCTGTCTGTTCTCCATCATCTCAGGGAGCAGGGATGCGTGGAACTCATAGGCATCATGGGTGCTTCCACCCAGCCAGTGAAAATGTGGGTGAAGTGGCCCTGCTGGTTACCTGTGTCTTGCAGGACAATGAAAAAGTAGCCCTTGTGGTTGACGAATGGCTGGGCACCATTGGGCAGGCAGAAGATGGGGGTGTGAGTGCCATCCATGGCTCCCTTGCTGTTGGGGAAGCCTATGCAGCAGAAGCCAGTAACCACCTCCTAGAGGTTGACTAGGTGAATGAAAGTTGTCCAGGCTGTTCTGGATTACCAGACAACTCTTGAGTGGCCTCTCCAGCTGTGGACTTGCCATGCCAAACTGGTTGGAGACATAGAAGAGACTGCTTGTCCATAAGGGCATTTGTTGTTATTGCAAAGGCTCCATTGGTATAGGCTTGAGACAGTGACCCTGTCCAGTTTGAAACCAGTTGAGACGTGCCTGATAACAGCATAGCCAGTTAAATCCTGGTTGACTAACTATAGGGTCAAAGATTCATTGATGATTGTGCGACCATTCTTTGTACCATCAAGTAAGTAAGGAAAAGTCAAAGGATTTTGAAAGGGTCGACCATATTGGATGCTGTAACAGATATCCGCTCTGGGCCGGTCTAAACGTGGCCCACGCACCTGTTCCTGCGGCAACCGCCTGCCTTCTCTCCTGCCATGCCTTGCTGTTAATTGATGTTAATTAGCAGGAGACTGCCCCGATGCCAGGGAGCGCCATCTGCGGCTCCGTTTCCTCCCCTACACCGCAGCCCATGCCTCGCCGATGGAATAGACGTTATGTCCTAGCCTTATTATAATCTGGCCCCTTGTCCTCTCTGGACCCTACCTCTTTTGATCTGCACCCTCTCTGGTGCTAGGGCTCTCCCCGGCCCTATCTCACTATATGCCCTCCTCTCTGGAGCTTCTCAGTAATGCTGCTCCTTCTCGGGGCCTTCTCCACAATGCTGCCCGTCCTCCGGGGCTTCTCACCTGTCCCCTTTTCTGGGGTTGGGGTCAGTGCACCCCAACTGCTGCGCCCTCACTGGCACTGGAGTCCCCACACTGCTGTGGGTCCCCTATGAGGCCTCCTCCAACCCCTAGTAGCCTCACCCAAACCACCGGTGACAAACAGCAACACAAACATAAGCCCCTTGGCTATAACATAAATGGAAGCCAACCGGCCATAACAATCCAGCCTACAAGGGAATACTCCATCCCTCAGCCATGTCAGACACTGCACCTTCAGTCAGGCTGCTCCTCTCTTCCATGAGAGAAAGCTCCTTCCTCCTTGGCTGCTGGCAGGGAACTGCCTCTGGCCCCAGCCCCTAGGGTTTATAAGGGAGCCAGGCCCTGCCCCTTCTGGTCAGCTGACCTCCTCTGGTTGCCCTGGCAACCAACAGCTGGGCTCCTTATTCCCTGCTAGGGCTTCCTCCCTAGCAGTTTCCCCTCTTTAGGAGCAGGGCACCTCAGTGCTCTGTGACAGATGCCTTGAGGAGACCTGAGCTATTGGTGGATGGAATATATCCCAGTGCACTGACTTAGCAGCCCAGTGCATACTTTCTGTTCCTATATTCTGCCCAGAGGTTTTCCTACCTTAAGCACAGATCTGTTTGCTGTATTAAACATGGACATGATTAAAAGAGGCATTTCTCCAGCACTGCCTAACTGTAACACAAACTCCACATTCTGGTATTATGAAAGATAGTACAGTGGAAACACCCGGCTTAGGTTATAAAATTAAAATTCACTAAATGTGACATCTCAATAACAGAAATTACACTACTTACCCCTTTTTGTGAGAGGTGCTGCATCACAAGATGTTAAAATGGGTGCAGAATAAAATTAGTGAAGAATTTAAATCTTACGAATGGTTTAACCAACTGGAGGAGGAGACTGGAAGTATCTGTCTCTGCTTGGACCCAAGGGAGCTGCATTAAACCTTAGTAATGGACAAGCACCTATGTCCATGTATAGAGGACACATTTAAAGAAGCCTATGGAACTAAGATGTTTTCCATTTTGGGTCTACACCATGCATGTCACTGAGTAAAGTTAGGGA